CTGGGGGTGAGGATCATGGTATGGGAATGAGAACAACTAAGAAGGTTGGATGAGGAAAGCCCAGGATAGACACTGATAGAGGAAAACTGGATTGTCTGATGAGAGAAGAGCGTGGCAAAAAGGATGTGAACACACGAGAGCACAGCTCTGCTACAGCACAGGAAAGGTTTGTGATGCTCCTGAGTCTCACTGTTTTTCTACAGGCAGCAAATACTAGCAAAACCTCGTGGTAAATTGAGAGTCATGCCCTCCTTCTCTACTGCTTGTCCATACAAAAGGTGGCAGCCGGCTGCTGCTGCCAGCTAGTTGGCTAGTTCAGCAACTGAGGGGTTTTAATACATAGGAAGGTTCCAGGCTTGCTGATGTCTCATTGAAGTGTAAACACACATCCACATGAAATTACACAAAACATGTATAATAAGAGCATTCAGATTGTGAAATCAATCACTACAGGGGCAGGAAATATCAAAATTAAGGTTGTCCTGGCAAACTTACTTTGGCCCCATGGGCTATATATTGTGTTGTCTTTGCACGATTCCACCCCCCGCCCCCTCAATTATCATCTTTTTCATGGCAGACAAAGGACCTGCTTTAGAGATGAATCAGGACTGTACAGTGATGTCATCATTGTCAATAAATTCCTTCCTTAATTTGTAGCAGAAGTTGGAAGGCATATGGAAAATGGGACTGAGGGCTGTGGAAAAGAAGGGAGGTGTTCTGAAGGGAGCTGGTACCACCTTCAGAACTGGCTCTGCCAATGCATTCCTAAAATTTTTAGATGCGCTATTAATTGTATGTTCCTGGTTTTCTGGGTACCCAGACTAAGAACCAGCTGCCCCATTTTCTCTGCAAGAGAAGTCAAAGTTAGCTGTACTCTGAATATAAAAGACTATAATGCTCAGTACTCTGAAAGATCAGTGCTTCACATCGAACACCTATACTTAGTGAAGTCTTCAGTGCTGCAGGTATTACCAGAGGATTATATACGTCACCTCAGAGGCATTCATCAGATACTGCATTGATGAGCTCCACAGGAAAAAAAAAAAAGAACCTTTGAAGAAATCAGTCATTTTGGATTCAGAGCTAGTTTGTGTAGTCCCAACAGTAGATAAGGCACAAGTCCACACATTAAAAGGCAAGGATTAAATGAAAGACTGAATAACTTCTTGTTCAGTGAGCACTGTTTATCCTGTGCAGTGATTGAAGCAGGGGTCTAGTGGAAAAATAGTATCCAGTCGTGAAATTAAGGACTTTGACTTAATGCATATAGGCAACTGGGATTTATGTAGTGTCCAAGGAGACGTATCATGATCTTGAGTACTTCATTCTTCAATGTAAGGTTCTGTATTGTTTGAATCTGAGTATAATTAATCATTCATGAGGAAGGAAAATACATATATGTATAAGAGGAGCATGAAGATGTACATTTTTCCTTCTTGCTGAGCAAGTGAAAGAACTAATTTACACTGATCCCAGTTTGCATGGTGGAATCTCAGAAAAGAAGAAATAGAGAATACTGTGCTCACTGCAGCACTACCACATCTCTCTTTCGGGGATGTTTAATACCTGCTAGGGTTCCTTGTAGTAACTATTGAGAGATTCAGAAAATAGCACTGTAAGTTCTCCAGTAGCTGCTGTAATGTGAGAGGGTGGAAATACAGAGGAGGTAAGGGAGCAGCATGGAGAAGAGAGAGCTCCTCTCCATGTGAAGGGCTGCTACACCATGGAACGAACTGGAGCTTTCTGCCTGGCAATCTGCATAGTTCCTCCTTTCTGGATCCTCTGTATCACACCTGCTGACATACTTCCTAGAGACATCTGAGTTTAGTTTCCTGCCCCCAGGTTTCCTGTCTCTGGACTTTTCCAGAGATAGAGCTTTGCATACTTAATTTTGAGGTTTTACCTGTGTGGGATGTATGAATAGTATTTAGTGGTATTTTGCTGTAGCCATGATGATCTAAGGAGTTAGGCTAAGATCTAAGAAAAGGTTTTTACAAGTAAGGGTAATGTATTTTATTAGATAAAGTGATGCAGTTAGGAAAATGAGGTAACTTTTAAGCACTGAAAAGGCTGCAGAATTGACTTACTGATATACAGGCTTTGGAATCTGAAGTGTGGTATCCTGACCCCATTTTCATTGTTCTCTGTGTATTATATCCCCATATTCATGATGGGTTATGGTAAATTTCCTAAACTATAAAAACATTAGTGGATGGGATAGAAATATATTTAAAATGAAGGCAGGTATATAAAATGGGGTCATCGTGCTGCTCTGGCATATCATTTTATTGCTCTTGGAGCAGAATAGAAATCGACCATTAGCATTCCTGAAGATCTCCCATTTGGTATAAAGATATTGATGCTTTTCACTATGCTGCTATGAGAAATCTGGGATCTTCTGCAAGCCAGCCTCTGCTTAATACAATGAGCAACATGCACCCAGGAGCAGCAGCCCTTCTGTGAGCTTCTTCAAAATTTCCTGTGTCTTCGTGTAGTTTGCACAGCCATAAGATCAACAAAGGTCTTCCTTCTCAAAGCTCTTCCAGTGCAGAAGTGCAGACCTTCTCTTTGCAAAACTTCTGCTTTCATAGGAAATTTTGCTTTTGCAAATACCAGCTCATGAATCACCTAATGAAACAATTCAGAGCCTTTCTTTTTTTTCAGGCAGAAATGCCATGTCAGCATTCAGAAGAACAAAGCATCTACTTTGTGTCTCACACTGTCTGTCAAGCAAATTTCAGTAAGACATCCAAAATATTTTACCAATCTTTTACTTGATGAGGATAGGGTGAGTTAAAAATTAAGCCACATTTTTCTGTTATTATGTTCTCTTTGGTTTTCTTTCTTTCCTTTAGAAGTTAGTAGGTGCTATTGTGAGAGCAATACAGGTGAACTTGTCTTATGACAGTGTCCAGAATTGACAAAAATCTGTTTAGCAGATTTCTTCCTCTTTATTTTATTTTTCAGTGTACAATAATGACATGAGGCTAGTTATTTTGGCTGGGTGCAAAGTGAAGTTGATGGTCAAGATGCAGACTGTGCTGAATGAGCAAACTCTGAAATTAGAAATCAATGTTGGCTGGGCTTTTTTGCTGCTAGGTTTCAGGCTTTAATCCTAAACAAACCTGCCCTTTAGTTCCTATCTGATATATGTCAGAGGATCATTTGAGTTATAGAATAGGTATTTCCTCCGTATTGTCATTCTTGCAAGTGTGTATTTCAGTACAAGGCAGATGGCACAGATTATTTTATATTCATAATGCATATACCTCTAGGAGAGCCACGCCACAGTGTGCTGATGCTGGCTGCATGGGTTATGTATTCTCAGGAGACCGACATGTTCAGAATGTATTCTTTTGCCCTTTCCCCTGTCATCTCATGTTTTGCTATGATAGAAGCACTAGCAAATGAAAGGCTTGTTATTGATTTCTGTGCAGATGTTAATAATTTCCGAGTGGCAGTAACTGATGTACAAAATTTGACATCTTAATTATTTCTTGATGGAAAGGAGGGCCACGAACCTGAGATACAGCAGCCTATTAACTCTGGATCTGTGGAATCAAAGCAGCCTTAGGTCACAAGTGAAATGAGTGAGGCTGTCTCAGTATAGTCTTTATGGATGTTTGTTTGCTTCTTAAAGACACCAGACTGTCTTCAATGTGTCTGGAGCAGATGGAAGCAGAAATCCTGAAACAAAAAATGTTTTACTTTCAGTATTGCTAGCCTAGCTGAAATTGCAAGTACTGGAAATCTCAGGAGAAGCACAATTTATGAGCTCTCCAGACTTATTGCTAGATGCATCAAAATATGCATCCCAAATGCTGTTGTTTACTCAATCAAAAAGAGGGATTCAAGAATTTTGGTGTTTGTCTGTCAATCCCATCCAGTAGGCATAGCTTCAGTTCCCAGAAGTCGCAGCTTTATGCAGAACTCTGGTGAGCTGGAAATGTTAAGTGGATGACCAAGGGCACACATGCACCACAGGTCATTAGCAGATATTGAACAGTGAGCCCCAAAAATCTGATCACCAGCCACTGAAGGTATTGCTATCATTACAACAGTGAAAGCAATTCCTTTAGCAATAGGTAAATACCAGGCTGTTGCTGTTTTTGCTTTCAGCCATATGTAACTATCATCCACAACCTTTAGTGTAGGAGAGCCTCTCTTCAAGAGGATGCCATTTCCCGACTAACTATCCAGTTGACCTGTACAACTTGTAGCTAAAGCTCTCTTTAAAAATTATATTGAGTATTTCTGACTACAGGATTAGATGATCACCACAGAAGCGTTATATATGCATTATTATGCTGTTAAAATTCATATTCTTAGTCCAGTCACAGACAGTGCCACAATACGGCATCAGCATTTCAAAAGCTATCCTGTGCTGAACAATAGAGTAAATGGCAAGAACAGAAAATTTGATTTCTGCCTCAGTGGAAGAAAAGATCTAATATGAAAGAACAATTGTGCGAAGTCTTAAGGCTTGATTGTTTTGTATTTCACCAGCATCATCCAAATTAATTTCAGTGATTTAACTATTATTATTATTGAGTTACCCAGTGCCCTTGAAGGCAAAAAAAAAATTTGGGTCCTCTAATCTAATCCACTACCCTCTTGTCCTCCAGAGCCAGGCCAGAGTTTCCTTGCATACTGCGAACTGGAAAAGGGCAGCAGTTTGATGTTTGCTGCAGCAGCTCTTTACCAGTTAGTCTCCAATGCTGGTCTGCATCTCTGTATTAGCAGTGGTAACAGTGCAGAAGGACTGAGGCCAGAAGAAGACAGAAAGGGGGAACTGGGAAGAGGAAAGAAGTTTAAATTGTAGTCCAGGGTCTTTCAGCATGTTCAGCTGCAGACACAACATAGTGCAAACCTGAGGAAGGAAACTAATTAGGATTCCATTAAAAAGAGGAAAAAAAATCTTGCTGAGACCCAAGTCACATCACGATGGTCAAAGTGAAACCTTGCTCGCTAATGTAGCCTTAATTCATTTTATTTTGCAGAGACAGCAAGCTCACCATGTTGCTTCGGGAGTCCTTGGGGAATATGAACTGCCGCACCACAATGATAGCTCACATTTCAGCTGCTGCGGGGAACTATGCTGAGACGCTGTCCACCATCCAGATTGCATCAAGGGTCCTCAGGATGAAGAAAAAGAAAACTAAGGTAAGACAATGTATAACTCCCTTCTTGTAATGGTGGAGGAAGAAGGTCCCTAAAGGATCCTTGATGGGGCAGAGCAGCATGTAACAAAATCAGTAATCAACTCCAAAGCGTGTGGGTTCTATGTACCCTGTCCTAGGCAAGTGGCTTACAGCACATAGCAGAGACTAGGGGCGGGTAAATGCTTCAGTTTCAGATACAGAGGCGTGAGTTGAGACATATCTGCTATAGCAGGTTTGTAAGCTGGCCTCATTTAATGATATAGCTGTCAGAGAGCATTTATTTTCAGTTATGCTCTTAGTGCTAATGAAATAATAAGGAATGAAACTGCTGTAGAGTTAAAGGAAATTGGGATTAATGAAGAATTAGATGCTTCTCGGAGAGAGCAGGAGCAAAATAAATGCAAAGCAGTGTGTCCATTGCCAGCATTGATGCCCCTTTTATTCCCATTGCTTCTAAATACGGGTGATAGATTTTCCAGGAAGTAGAGTGAGGATGGGCTGTATCCACTTTCATGTTTTAGAGTCCTGGTTCCTTCTGTACAGCTTATGGTGTGAATTGGGCACAATGAGTGAATTTTATGCGTTTCATTTAAATTGACAGCCTATGGATTGACAAAACCTTTTTTGTCAATGGATTGAAGAGAGACAAGTGAAGGGATTCAGTCCACACACCATCACAGCGGTGTGTCTCCAGAGACCTCTGAGTGCATGTTATACAATTCCACACACTGGTAGTATGACCAAATGGGGATTGTTTTTATTTTCTGTGCCTTATTTGTGTAATGAGTTTTCTTGTTCCTCTTCACACACACACACACACACACACACGCAAAATCAGCAAAGCCTTTGCCAAATATCTGATTTCTTTGGCCAGGCTCAATTAAGGGAGGGATCCTAATCCATTTGTTCAGTAGGTTTTTTTGGAAGTTTCATGATTTCGAGTGGGACACAGAGTGGGGGCATTGGCTTCTCCATTGAACACTGTTGTGTGTTTGTTATAGGACTGTGAATAAGAAGCTTCAGAGCTCTGTGCCTTAGTTTAGAGATTTCCCAGTTTAGATGTGACTGTGACCTTTTTGCGTATGCACTTTGTGCAAGGAGCTGCTCGCAATGCTGAAATGTCATGGTCTCTCTCTCATATTGCAGTACACATCGAGTTCTTCTGGAGGAGAGAGCTCTTGTGAAGAGGGCAGGATGCGGAGGCCAACCCAGCTGAGGCCTTTCCATTCTAGAAACACTGTTGACCCGGACTTCCCTATTTTGCATTTATCAAGTGATCCTGATTATTCGTCTAGCAGTGAGCAGTCGTGTGACACCGTGATTTATGTTGGCCCCAATGGCACTGCCCTTTCTGATAAGGAACTGACAGATAATGAGGGTCCCCCTGACTTTGTTCCCATAGTTCCTGCTCTGCAAAAGACCAAAAACGAGGGCAGGTTGGAGGAAGTTAGTGAATCAGGGCCCAGCACATCTGAAAGAGACTGCCTGAAGTGCAACACCTTTGCAGAGCTCCAGGAGAGGCTGGATTGCATAGATGGCAGTGAAGAGACCGACAAATTTCCCTTTGAAGAGATGCCTGTTCAATTTAGTTCAGACCAGATGTCTAAGTGTTCTGTCTCAAGCCAGCTGGCAGAGCTTAGCCACTTACCAGAGTCAGATAAGGAAGATATGATGCCAGAATGTCAGCATCCTGATAGAGAAGCCAAGGAAAATATAAATGCAACACCCAGCAAAACTAAGAGAAATCACTCCCCTGTTCCTTCTGGAGCTCTTACTAATGTTTCAACTCCTTCTTCTCCCAGGAGTGTAACAGGCAGTTCTAGTAAAGAGCTTAGCTCTTGTCAGTTAGCACACAGCACCAGCTTGCAGAGCAGCAGAGAAGGTCTCAACACCTGTGGATTTGTGGAAGGCAAACCTCGGCCAATGGGTTCGCCCCGGCTTGGCATTGCGAGCCTCTCGAAGACATCCGAGTACAAGCCACCAACTTCTCCTTCCCAGAGGTGCAAGGTCTACACACAGAAAGGAGTCCTGCCCAGCACCACTCCCCCACCAGCTCCCCTGAGTAAGGATACTGGGGTGATATCTAGTGAATCTTTATTGCAGCCAGAAATCCGGACCCCACCTGTAGGCATGAGCCCTCAGATTATGAAGAAGTCGGTGTCCTCCAGCAATGGGGATTTTGAAGAGACCGTTCTTGATGAAGATCAGCAACAAAGCATTTCTCCAGAATCCAAGAAGGAGATTCTGAGCACCACCATGGTGACTGTGCAGCAGCCGTTAGAGCTGAATGGAGAGGACGAGCTGGTGTTCACCCTTGTAGAAGAGCTAACCATTAGTGGGGTCCTTGACAATGGGCGCCCAACCAGTATCATCAGTTTTAACAGTGACTGCTCTGTGCAGGCTTTGGCCTCTGGGTCTAGGCCAGTCAGTATTATCAGCAGCATATCTGAAGATCTTGAATGTTACTCCAGTGCAGCTCCTGTGTCTGAAGTCAGCATCACACAGTTCCTTCCACTTCCAAAGTTGGGCCTGGATGACAAATCCCAGGATGATGGCAGCAGGCGCTCATCCATCAGCTCATGGTTGAGTGAAATGAGCACAGGGAGTGATGGTGAACAGTCGTGCCACAGCTTCATAGCCCAGGCATGCTATGGGCATGGGGAAGCAATGGCAGAACCCCCTGTCTCTGAGTTTGCAAGCACCATACAAAGTGCCAGCATGATTTGTGTAAGTGACAAACAGAAGCCAGTGACTGACAACATGCTTATACTGTCGGAAATGGGGGAGGAAGCTTTCGGCAAAGTGCCACCCATCAAAGGCTGTAAAATATCAGCTCTAGGGAAAACTACAGTCACAATCAAAAACACCGCAAGCCTCAGCAGCTGTGAAGGCTACATCCCAATGAAGACAAACATTACCGTGTATCCATGTATTGCCGTTAATCCCTTCAAAGCACAAGACACTGATGACGCTGTACTGGCAGTAACTGCAGACCCAAAGGTTGCTCATCCCCATGACGGGAAAGAATCCAGTGCTAAGAAGGATATCAAATTTGAAGACCCTTGGCTGAAGAGAGAAGAAGATGTAAAAAAGGACAGCTCTGGGAGCAGTGATGGGCCAAGGCCTGACATGGCCGCACTTTCAGCCAAGCCTGAGAACAGCACAAAGCAGTCCTCAGTGGACAGGTTTAGCAGCAGCAGCGGGGACACCTCTATCTCCCCAGGATCTGACAGTCTAAAGAGGATTGTGGATGGGTGTGAGGTGGCAGCATCCAGCTCTGCAACCCAAAGCCCTGTTCATTCCAGTGACGGCTTGAAGAATGGCAGCCTCCCTCGAGGGCTTCCGAAGGCAGGCAAGCTGGAAGAGCCTGACAGTCACCTCCATCCTACTGCCACTGACACCAGCGGAGTCAGCTCTTCTGCCCTCCCCCAGTTTTCTAAGGCTAGCCTTGACAAGAAAATGGCCTCTCCCAAACACTGTGTCCTCACTCGTCCCAAAGGGACTCCTCCTCTGCCACCGGTGAGAAAGTCAAGCTTGGATCAGAAGAACAGAGCCAGCCCCCAGCACAGCGCAGCCAGCAGCACCACAAGCAGTCCCTCCAGCCAGCCCGGGTCCTTCCTGGCCAGCTTCCCCGAGGAGCTAAATGCCAAACAGAAGGGCCCTGCCATCGACAGCAGTGGCAACAACAGCAGCAGCAAGCTCTTCAGTGCCAAACTGGAGCAGCTCGCCAGCAGGACCAACTCCCTCGGGAGGTCCACAGGAAGCCACTATGAGTGTTTGTCGCTGGAAAGAGCGGAAAGCCTGTCCTCTGTGAGCTCCAAAATGAGCCCTGGCAAAGACACCACCATGCCTAGGGCCGGAAGGAGCCTCAGCCGCAGTGTCATGTCCTCACCGACCAACTCGGGCCTCTCCCAGTCCGCAGGTGCCTCCCCGAAAGCCAGCCAGTCGAAGATCTCTGCAGTCAGCAAGCTCCTGCTGGCGAGTCCCAAGGCCCGCAGCCTATCTGCCTCTGCCACCAAAACGCTCAGCTTCTCGACCAAGTCTCTGCCTCAGTCTGTAGGGCAGAGCTCCAGTTTGCCTCCGAGTGGGAAGAACATGTCCTGGTCAACGCAGTCCCTCAGCAGAAACCGGGGCTCCAGCCTTGCTTCCAAATTGCCCCTTCGGGCCGTCAACGGGCGGATTTCGGAGCTACTCCAAGGGAGTGCCAGTGCTAGAGTCTTACAGCCACGGGGAAGCTCAGAGGCAGATGAGCACGGGGGCCTTCCCGGAGATGAGAAGCCAGCTGTTCACGTGCTGCCTTCACCTTACAGCAAGATCACCCCTCCTCGGAAACCTCACCGCTGCAGCAGTGGTCACGGGAGCGACAACAGCAGTGTCCTGAGCGGGGAGCTGCCCCCCGCCATGGGAAAAACAGCCCTCTTCTACCACAGCGGAGGGAGCAGTGGCTATGAGAGCATGATGAGGGACAGCGAGGCGACGGGGAGCGCCTCTTCAGCACAAGACTCCATGAGCGAGAACAGCAGCTCTGCAAGCAGCAGGTGCCGAAGTCTCAAAAATCCAAAGAAACGATCAAATGCAGGTAAGCTTGCGGTGGTGTGAAAGAGGGATGCAGACCAAATAATTAGTACATGGTGGGGAGGCTAGCCCTACAGGTGAGCTAATTCAGTACCAGCTACATCTCTTAGCAGAGAAGCGAGGGTGAACGTCATAGGCTCTGAGTTTCTTCATTTTGCAACACGCACAAATCCTGTGTGGTTGCGTTGCCTTTGCAGTGGAGTCTCCCCCTCACCTATTCCACTTAGGTTTACTTCACATGAACAGAAGAACATTTATCCCTAAAACTGGTTAGTATTGCCGATGGCAGCCACATTCAAGTATTTATTTATACAAATATTCTTCTGATTTGATTCCAGAAAGATGCCTTTGTGAGGCAGTGAAATGTAACTGTTATTCTTACGTACTTTGGGCACAGACTCCCCTCTTGGTATGCACGTGTTTCACCAGCACAAGACCAGAGTCTTGCTGAATAGCAGTATCTTTTGCTCCTTGTGTGCTCTGCATGCCCAAAGATGCAAGATGCCCTGCAGCTGAAACCACCACTGAGTTCCTTCTTCCCACCTAGAAGATGGAACAAAGTTGTGCCCATGCCCCTTGAAAGATGTTATC